TTCATTAGACTTTTTAAGTTATTATTTTTATGCTAAAAATTTAGAATAAAATTATATTGTTAATTATTCGTATAATGTTACAAATATTTTATTTTTGTTATTAATTGAATGTAGTTTGTATATTCTGGATATTTTGTTCTAATAAATATTTGATTACATTGATTTTACTTTTCATGATGCTGGAAAACTAAATGCTAACCTACTATGCACTAATTGAACAATCTATGAAGTTTGCAAAATATGATTGAGGAAAGCATCTTAACATGGTGAAAGAAGGGATGCAAGGGAATGAGGATTGTTGATCGAGTTTATAAAATATTTGCAAGAGTTTAATCGTTATTAGGAGTATTATTCTCTTTGAATGTTGGCTATATTTTCTATATTTTGAAAAATATGTATGGTTGAATGTTTGGTAAACAATAGTTATCGTTTGAAGGTTTGAAAATAAGTGAAATTTTAATAAAACAATATTTTGGTTGGACAATAGCTATATGTTAAAGAATAATACATGTAATGTTATAGTTTATGTCATGTAATGATAGTAATATCTTTCACATATTAGATGACTTTAAAATTAAAGGTTGTACATATAATATTCTATTAGAATAATAATTTATGTTTTTTGGTATATTAAGTATATGTATAATACTCTAATAGAATAATGTTGTGTGTTGTTTGTTATCATAAATTGATGTTTCTGTCTTGTTTACAATTAACGTCATAAGTCAAGCCAAATTTTATAAGTAGAGTGTATGATGTTTAAAATCATTAGAATGTTGCAGTTTATGGTGTATGATGTTGATAATATAATAAAAAAATATTCTATGTTTTTTTAAATAGATTAATTTATTTACATGAAAAAATTGTTTACATATAGAATATTTTAATACACTAATGTTATATGTTGTATGTTTTCGAATAATGTTGTATGTTTTCGAATAATGTTGTAAGTTTTCGATTGAATAAGTTGATTTGTTGTATAAAAACAATATGTACATATAGAATATTCTAATAGAATAATGTTATATGTTGTATGGTTTCATAATCTATTTGTAGTACATTTTATTCTAATAGAATAATGTTATATGTTGTATGTTTTCATAATCTGTATGTAGAATATTTCAATTGAATAATGATCTATTATTTTCTAAGTTATAAGTAGAATATTCTAATGCAATGATGCGCAATTAAATTTAGTTTTATTTAATACTCATTGGTATGATATTATTCTAGATATTCTAACCATTCAGTAATTAATATTGTGTTGTTAATATGTAATATTATGAAAATATGTTGTAATATGTACAATTAACTTACAATATGTAAGATTCTAATATTATATGTAATATTATGATATCATTATGTAATATTTTGAATTTACAATTTATAGTTTTACAATAATATATACAATCATGGTTTTAAAAAAGTGACATGGCGCGCCTCAAGGCGTGCCATGGCGCAAGGCATGGTGTAGCCGTTACGAAAACGTCCAAGACGGGTTTGTTAAGCGTGGCGCCCAAATAACGTTTCAAGGCGCGCCTTATCGTGATATGGCACAAGTTTTTTTGTTTTTTTCTATCGGGCCTAAAATAATTGAGTTTTTGTTAACTTTTTATATTAAATACTAATATAACACTACTAAAAACTTGATATACTTGATAAAAATCAGTAATTATATGATTTATCTTTTTTAATATATATAAAATAGTCACGCCTTGAAAAACGTCATGGCTCGCCAAGGCTTGTCATGGCTTAACTTTTACCTTGTCGCCAAGCCACGTCTCACGTTATTTAGAACCTTGTATACAATAATCTACAGGAAACCAAATAAGTTCTATGTAAAATATTCTAATAGAGTAATGTTCTAATTAAATACGTTGTCATATTTGAATTATATTCATTAGTAGTGATATATAACAATGTTATTTTTTCTGAATATAGAATAATAGAATGATATTCTAACTTAAAAATCTTGTCATTGATAAACATTAGTGTTACAGTGTATTTTACAAGTAAAAATAGCGTTTATAGAATACTTTTCATAAAATTAAAATTATAATATTACCAAAAAACTTAGTATCATAACAATAGTTGATTATTTCAACAACAAAACACAAACTTAAACAAAAATAAGACATTTTTACAAAGTGATTAAAACTTAACATGGATTATGATTTACAAAAGTATATCCATAACATTTCAGTTATAAAGAACTGTATGTACAAAACATGATTTTAGAATATTAAACACTAACATGATAATATTAGACGTGTAATATGACAAACTTAAACATATAACAACACAATATATAACATATATTGAATCAAACTAGTTGATCATTTCAACAAAAAAAAAATCAAACTAGAATATTCGGAATTCAAACAAAATAACCATTAGTTGAAATGAATACAATACTTGAATAAGATTCTTCAAAATTATAGTCAGATAACATAATACCAAAAGCCTTAAAAAAATCTATCACATGCTTATAAGATCTATTAAATATTCATTCATCTCAAAACTTGTTAAAAGCTTCTAATTTGAAATATTCAAGGAGGGATTCATTAGCTAAAATTACTTGCAACATAAAATGAAAGAATTATTAGAATGATGTATGGTTTATACAACTATTTCAAATTGGAGTCAACATGTTATAGTAATGTAATTAATGATACAACATAATAATGTAGTATGTAATGTAATTGATCATAAAACACATAATGCAAACATTTCTAAGAAAAATACTCCGAATATAATGATCGTTTCTTGAGTACAACCAGTTACCACACATCAATAAGAACAATCAATATTGTTCAAAGAGACATCTCCAACCTTTTATGTTCGAATAAACTTTTTTTGACACAATTATAGTAAGGATCATATCCTAGAAACAAATATAAGAGAAGCCAATATTTTCTTTAGTACAACCCTTTTTCTGCAAGCTAACAAGAAGATATCCAAACCAAACTATGCAGAATACACCTCCAACATTATGTGTTTGAATAAGTAAAAAAGTTACTTTTAACAAAACTATGCTAAATTTAATAAAAGTAGTCAACATTGCATAATTTTTCACTAATTGTGACTCATATTTTGGAAATATACTCATATTCTTAAAGAAGAACTTAGTCATGAGAATGGGTGATACATCTGACTCTTTTTTCATTCATAACTTTCATCGAACATATAGAATGCATGTATAGTTTAAGTGGATTTGTTGAATAACAATAATTACTTTGCACATACCTTGTCAATTTTACAAAACACATTGCTTGAAAAGTGTTGAAAATCAAACCTTAAAAGTGCTCAAAATCAAACCTTGACAAATTGTACAAAACATAAATCTAATAAATAGAAATCGTATCTTGAAAGTGCTCAAAATAGATCTAAAACAACTAAACAAATGTGATTTGATGAAGAATTGTTGAAACTGAAGATCAACGAAAAAAAACTAACCCTTTTGTTGAAAATGGATGATTATGGTGCTACAAATCGATTAGATTTTGATGGTGATATATGTGATTTGATGAACTATATTGTTGAAAATAACCTATATCTCATGCTCACCCCAAGATGTCGATAGATTAAAATCAACCCAATCAATTCGATTATCAATTGCAGATGTAGAAGAATGAAGATGATATGGTTTAAATAAGTGAAGATTTAAGGAGATTGAAGATCGAGTACATGAGAAAATTAAGAAATGTTGATCACATAGGAGCGATAATCTTGATAGAAGAATCGAAGTAGATGAAGATGTTCTTGAAGATGACGTGAATATGATGCTAAATGTGTATCAGGTAGTGATGTTATATTTAACTTAGTGACAAATATGCCCCTAATTAACTAATCAGTTAGATTAATTACTGTTAATCCGTTTTTATAAGCCACAAGATCAAATTTGATGAAAGGCTAATATTTGGTCCCCATGTCTCACAAAATATAGATGATTTCAAATATATATATATATATATATATATATATATATATATATATATGAATTACCAGAAATTGAAAAACCACATTAACAATTTTTTGCAATTTTGTCTTCTAACTCATTAAAAAATTTTCACGACCAAAACTACTATAAAATTCTTATTTGAGTAAATTACATGAATGACCTTATGGTTTAGGATAATTTGCGTGTTTGGTCCCTAACTTATTTTTTTAACTTGGAATGTCTTTATTGTTTGTTTTTATTACGCACTTGGTCATTGTCTTACCTAAAAAAAACTATTTTGTCTTTGATTTTTTAATTAATTTAAATAAACACACCCCAACCTCACCCCCTCACCTTACCAAACTTACCCCACTATTTTTTCTCTATTTAAATAATAGTCTTTTTAGGTAAGTCGGGGACCAAACGCGTAACAAAAACAAACACTAGAGACCAAGCGCGTAACAAATACAAACGGTATGAACTTTCCGAGTTAAAAAAATAAATTAGAGACCAAGCGCGCAAATTACCCAAACCATAGGGACCATTCGTGTAATTTACTCTTCATATTTTTACCAATAGTACAAACTTCACAATATTTTGGCCAAAGAATCCGATTTTTGACATTCGACAGGACAAAACATACAATTTTGTCATAATAATAATAATGTGAAATTAATATTAATTTAAAGTAAATCTTCAGGTATATATATAATAAAAAAATATATCTAATATCTTTATATTCCACCCACCAAATATATACGAAATCAAAAACCAAAAATAAAAATATGTCAACAATAACTAACCAATCACCACTCAGATATGAAAAAAATGCATTCGGCGAGATGAAATTCAACATTCAAAGTCAACTCCTTTGAAACAAGGTACACTTGCAGTATTGTCTTTGAAAAACATAAACCAAATGGCCACGCAATTCACGATAATTAGTCAAGTTCACACACTGCGCATCGTTTATATACCAGTGCTTTTCCATATTCATCTTACACCCTGCAAACCCATTACCTAATTCCCACTTTTTCAGTGGTGCACCCGAGCCAGAACCATGTCCGATCGACATGACGATGACGATTCACCCTTTTGGCCTCGTGGGAACTCGACCAATGTTAATAGTAGGATCTTGCTCATTGCTATTATATCCTTATCTTTTGTTGTGGTGGTCGTAACCATGTTACATGTATACGCAAGGTACATACTCCGCCGCCAAGCCCGCCAACGAGCCGCTTTTCGAGGTATCGGAATCGTGGCTCATATCCAGTCTGAAGAGCCACCTAAAAGAGGTCTTGAACCCACTGTTATCTCTTCCCTCCCTATACTCATGTATAAGGACATCGATCACAAACCGGACCATTCAAGTGTGAGCCCTGAATGCGCGGTTTGTTTAAGCACGTTCGAGGGTGGTCAGATGATTAGGGTTTTACCAAACTGTAATCACCATTTTCATGCTGACTGCATTGACAAATGGTTAAGCTCAAGGTCCAGTTGTCCCATTTGTCGTCATGAGGTGGAGCCAGCTGCCTCCATTAATCCCTTACCTCGCGAGCCTAGTACTAGGCTAGGGCCAGCTTCTGCGCCACCTTTAGAACGTATCGGTTCTGTAGTAATTCCTGTTGAAGGGACATCAGATCAAATGGTATCGTCGTCGGAAAAAGTCAATGGAACGAATTCGAGATTGAGTTCTTTTCGAAGGATGCTTAGTATGGACCGGTCTTCACGGCGTGCTAATTCATGTACACAAGGCGAAAATGAAGATCTCGAAAGACAGTAAATGGATCGATATTACAGCATATATTGTACGTAAGCAACACTGTCTGTTTTTGTTCATATTTGTATGGATTCATTGAATCTTTGTGTTAATACTACGACATATTACTCCGGCACCTGTGGCCGGAAAAGTGAAAACATAAACGTCGAGAAGTTTTGTTTAAAATATTATTTAAGATTACTTGCGACATAGAGTCGTAGACTTTTATGTGGTTTGATTTGGTAAAACATATAGGGGCGGCAGGTACACGCCACCCATGTGAACCATTGACCTTAATCATCGTCTTTTGAATTAGCTTATTGTTTTAAGTTTTAAGTTCGCAGAAAATTTAGGAATTCCAATTTCAGTCCTTACAATTTTTCAAAGCACAAAACAACTCAAATCTGATTCCAAATTCCACGACAAAAAACTGCAATAAAGTATTTAAATATTGGTCTCATAATCGATTTAGTCTTTATTTCTTTTTTTATTCAATTAAATCCAAAAAACCGGTAATTTTATTCAATTTAACCCTTTTATCCGGTAACTAGATCATCCAATTTTCAAAAATTACATTTTTGGCCCAAATTTTAAAATATATTAGAAATTTGGTCCAAAATTTACACTTTTTGCGCAGATTTTAGATCTTATTACAAATTTGATACCAAATTTACCCTTTTAGCCCAAATTTTAGAATTTTGTTATTAATTCTTCATAACTTTAGTTTTTTACAACTTTTTTTTTTCTCAAAATTTTGTTTCAAATATGTTTTTTCTTTATAAAATTATATTTATACAAAAAAACATAATTTCACATAAAAAATCTTATATTTTTCTATATAAAAACATTTTTTTAAAGAACTTTTTTGTATACAAATACTTACTTATAAAAAATATGTATTTTTTAAGTACATAAATATATACACATCCGTTTTTATTAAAAAAAAGTATACATACATGAATTTTATAAAATAAAATATATACAAACACCTATTTTATTATAAAATTTGTCTGTATGCAAACATATATTTATAAAAAAAATATATATGTATACAAACATCTATCTCATAGTCAACGTATACATTTCTTTTAAAACAACATAT